GCCCCCACAACCCTAACCCCATCGCGTAGCATATACACGCCAAAGCCCATTTTTGCGTATCAATACCACGAGTTTTCGTTTTTATTTGGCGTACTATTTATACGCACTTTCATGAGATCGGGTTGTTTTTAACATATTCTAAAGCCCCACATTTTTTAGTAATAGAAGCTAATGAATAAAAATAAAATAATTAATAGTTAAAATGTCTATTTAATAATAATAAATAAACATTAAATTAAATAATAATTTAATTAAAATAACTAATAGTGATTAATTCCGAGATTCTTTGTATACTGTAAAAATGATCTTTCAAAAATGTAAATAAAACAGATTACTGGAGTATTACAAGTTTACAATAGTTTTACAAGAAATGTCACTCTACTTCAAAATGTCACATTTAATTCAAAGTGTTACTTTCCATTTCTTTGCGAAATTTACTAGCAATTTGTGAAAATGAAACAAAGTAGCAGTTTCCTTGATGCCACAGAAGTTCTCTGAATGCAAAATGTATATTTTATAATCAATAAAGCAGATTTAATGTGTCATATTTCTGAAGAGTGAACAAAATTAGATTTTGGCAATACATTTAAAGCTGCAGTCCGTAACTTTTGGCGCTCTAGCGGTTAATAAACAGAACTGCGTGCGTCTTGCGGAAGAACATTGTAGCCGGAGCTACTTCTCTCTGTTTATGTCTATGGCGAATCACGCATGTACTGGGACACTCCGCATCGGTACCGGAACCAGTCTAAAATAGTCCGAATATAAACACGTATTATAGGTGCACCGTAGTGATTCAGGACAAGCCAAAAACACGGTTTGGAAAATGGATTCATGGTGTACTCGCTTATTATATAAATTTTGTACATTTTGAACACAAAAAAGTTACGGACTGCAGCTTTAACAATATGACTTTAGCGTTGTAGTGGTTACATTATAAAAAAAAAAATTCATAATATATTTTAAATAATTTTAAAAGATCTTGCAGTCCCTGTAAATATAATGTTCACTGTTACATTTGTACTTGTTTCTGGCTATATTTTCAGACTATAACAAAATAGAAATACAGCAAATTGTTTATGTCTGTAAGGTTATTGGCTTTTATTTATTTATTTGTTTAAATGAACCATAGCCTCAACATCCTGTTTCAGCAGGAAATATATCAACACAGGAAAGAAAAACTGCACTGTAAGTGATTTCATGTGGACTTTGATGATGCACCACAAAATAACAAGAGGAAAAGTCTCTCCATTCTCTAAAATGGAAGATAAATTTTCTTATTTTTATCAGAAGGATTGCACATATTTCAGGATTCCCGACTGAACATTTGCAATTAAATGTAGCTCTAACAGATCTGTCTTCGAGGCTGTTTAACCAGCATCCACCGATGTTGGGCGCCCTAATAAATAAATAAGTCCTGAGAGGAGAGAGAGACTGCTGATGTCAGGAGCTTCAGTGCTGCATTTACTGCTGCAGAAGAGCTCGAGCTGCTCCGGATTCACACATGCAACATGCAGAGCGTCGTGATCATATCGGCGCTGCTTTTGTGCCTGGCTTCTTCAGGGAACGCGGGGAAAAAGGTTTTTAAA